TGACCCAAGTGTGACTGACCTCTTTCCCATGCCGACCTCTGGAGTTGTGACTTCCACTTTGACCCCCAGTGCCGTTTGTGGCATTTATCTCTTGGGCTGCCAGGGCTTGCTGTGGGTGCTGCAACTTGGCCTCTGCCCATTGGGTCATAGTGCTGCTCTGATTTGACCTGGCTCCCCTGATATCAGGGGGAGGGGGGAGAGAGCTGGTCTTTGAATGGTGAGGACGGAGCAGGTACCTCTGGAGTTGTGACTTCCACTTTGACCCCCAGTGCCGTTTGTGGCATTTATCTCTTGGGCTGCCAGGGCTTGCTGTGGGTGCTGCAACTTGGCCTCTGCCCATTGGGTCATAGTGCTGCTCTGATTTGACCTGGCTCCCCTGATATCAGGGGGAGGGGGGAGAGAGCTGGTCTTTGAATGGTGAGGACGGAGCAGGTTTTCTCTGCTGTTGCTACTTTCTGGAGGCAGGACTTGTGCTGCTTTGGCTGCTTTTCATATGGGGAGGCATGGCTAATGGAATATGATGGACACTGGGCAAGCAGGTCAGTTGTATCCGTGGGCGTCAGCTTCTTGTGAAACCCCTGCCACTCTCCTGAGGCTACTGCTTTGTTTGCAGCCTGCTCCCCCTCGTTCCCATGGGAAATAAAGAAAGGTGCAGCCTCCCAGTGGTGGATGTTAAAAGATTACATGTTCTGTCCCGTGGTGGTAGCAAAGCTCTCTAGAGTCCTACAATGCTGAGTGGCGAAGAGAGGAAGCTGATCGTGGAGTGGTGCATGCTTCTATGTCCAGCTCTTGCGGCCTGCCCTTTCAGCCGTAGTTTAATTCTGAGTTTATATTCTTGCCAGAGAAGCCACTCCCAATGTCTTTTAAAGGCAGGGTGGTAGCATCACTAAATGAGTTGGTAGGAGCTACCAGTTTAAAGCCTCTGTTCACATGTCATGATTAAGTGCTGGCAAAGGCAGCATCAAAGCCTCTTAATTTAGAAAAAAGTAGGAGGCTAGAGGATCCCTGTGGACACCAATCTCCCCTTCCTTCCCCCCCCAGCCCATTTTATGGCCTCCTCTCTGAGCAGAGGTGGCTGCAACTCCCTTGGGTGCCCACCAACACTGCTCTATCACTAGAACACCGTACGGGTAGTCTCTTCCCTTGGGGTTTGAACACATTCCTCATCTTGAGTGTTCCATGTCCAACCAGCCTGTTGCATTGCCCCAAGTCCATGCACTTCATCCACACCCCAGGATGTTGCATGTTTGCATCTTGTGGAGAAGCAGTTGTGCTTTTCAAGAACGTGCTTGGTCAGCTGATGTGAGTTGGTCACTTGTAAGTCTCTTCATAGTTAGCCATGAAATCAAGAATCTTGAAGGGAATGATTTGTGTAGTGTGGGGTGCTCAGAGCCATTGAACCAGAATGTAAATCTTCTATAGAATGGAAATCCCTTCCAGACAGGCAGTATAGGCCCCTAGTTTCAGCACCTGTGAATATTGGCAAATATGACTCTGTTTGGAGGAGTGTTTTGCAATTCCAGAAAAATGGAATAAGAACTGTTCATGGAGATTTACTAACCTTACCTTGGACTCAAGTCTCCTACCTGAGGGTGTGAAAAGAGAACTTGTGTGAACTCTTGGGATTATGATCGTAGTGGTCAGCCAGCAAGAGGAACTCGCTCAGGTGTAAGCTGTGATGTTTCCAGTCCCTGAAGAATCTGTCCATTTTGGGTACTCTCTCCACACAGAGAACACTACAGCTTCTGGGATATCAGCTGACTGGTTTTTACCCACGAAAGCTGATGCCCAAATGTTAGTCTTTAAGATGCCCTCCCC